TTGAACATTTTATTGATGTTTGGGTAAAATTCTACAGATCAAATTAACTTTCCATTCAACAGTTTATACACATTTTGTTTTGTGACCTTAGTTGCAATCCCTTCAGTGTATAAGCACTCTTTCCACTTCCTCCCTGTATTCGCCATTGCCATCCACTTTTCTTTCCTGCCTTCGGAACTTTGTTTTGGGCAAATGCTGCCCTTTTTGTTTCCTGTGGTTGACTGTTTTGAGGAATATGCCCCTCACGGGTGTTACTGCCTATTTTATAGTGGGGGTTATGTGCTATGGAGTCGGTTCTGACCCATAGCAACCCTGTTTTCCAAGGCTGTAAATCTTCACAGGAGCAGAAAGCCTCATCTTTCTCCTGTGGAAGAGATGGTAGTTTCGAACTGCTGACCTTGTGGTTCACAGTCCGATTCGTAACCACTATGCTACCAGAGCTCCTTTATAGGCCTGTCAATTGTTTGACTGAAAGGTGATCTTCAGGAGTGGGTTCAGTTCCAGGTTTGAAGGTTGTCTAAAGGCCATAGTTTCAGGCATTCCACCAATCTTTACCAGACCAGTAAATCTGGTATTTTTTGAGTTTGAATTTTTCTCCTACTCTGTCCAGGACCTTCTATTGTGATTCTGATTAGAGTGGTAGCAGGAGCCAGGCACCATCTAGTTCTTTTGATCTCAGTCTTATGAAGGCTGTAGTTCATGTGGTACATTCATCTTTAGACTAGTTGTCTCTTTGAATCTTTGATTTTCTTCACTCTATTTTGCTCTGGACGAGACCAATAGTTGTATCTTAGCTACAACTCACAAGCTTTTCAGACTCCAATTGCTACTCACCAAAGAAGAGTGTAGAACATTGTCTTTGTGTACTATGTTATGCCAATTGACCTAGCTATCTTCTGAGACTTTGGTCCTAAACTCTCAAGCCCAGTAAGTGGTGTTTGGCTATGCTTAAGAAGTTTGTATAACCTTGCCCCTCTATACCTGGATATATTTGCAACACATACAAATCATGCTAATGTAGAAATATCCTTGGCCAAATCTATGAATGCTCATGGGTATCTTCCCATATGCTATCCCACATCTATTCAGCTTACATACCTATACCTACCTATGTATCCACTTGTAAATGAGTTTATTACTGTTATTGCAGGATTGTGTATAGAACAGCATTTACTGTTGCCTTGTACTCTTGTGTATCTCCCAGTGTCTTTTTTGCCTTGGTCATGTTG